AGGTTGCCTACCCCTGGTATAAGACGTGCATTGCTTCATGATGGTCACGTCAGCATCTTCTTTTGGCAGATCAAACCAATATCTTTACATTTTCATTAATTAGTGCAACTGGAGGGAGAACAGGGCTCATGTGATAATGTCCTTAGCCACCTCCATATGTTTAAAATAATCCACCAAGTCAAGACTGAGCATCAGAACAGTCTGTGCAGTTGGGAGCAGTCTGTAGAAGCCCAGATCACCTAGAACAAGCTCGGAACTATTACTTTTTGGGACTACACCTCTCAGTATCTGCCATTCCAGTGGGAGGTGGTTCTGGATGCTATAGGCCAAGAAAGTAAATTTATTCAGCTTTGTTAGGGGGTAATCATAATGTAGATAAACTTTTCACCCAAATGTTTGAAATAATCCCACTGTGAAAAATTCCCCTTCCACTGGGGTTTGTAAATGGGGATGCGCTCAGAGCTGGCTCAAGACATTTTGTTGCCTGAAGCAAAGGATAAGATCACCTACCCCATTCCACACAAAGACTGGCAGCTGAATCTTACATCAGCACTGGAATCCAACACTACGCCTGAGGCAGCAGACTAATTTATAAGGCAGGGGCCAATCTTTTCCTTTGCAGGTTGTGTGCATGCACACACACACACACATACACACAGCAAGCTCAAATACTGCTTTTTTTCCCCGCTGTAGTTCCGTCACTTTCTTTTGCCATTTTAAAAAAGGACTGCAGAGGAAAACTGAAGTATCTGGGGGTAGTGCAACATTCTGATGGGCCTGAATACCCTAAAAGTACCAGATCCCATCTAATTTGGAAGCTAAGCAGGGCCAGCCCTGGTTAGTAGTTTGATGGGAGACCACCAATGAATATCAGGAGATGTGAAAGCTGGACAGTTAAGAAAGATGACAGGAAGAAAATCAATTCATTTGAGATGTGGTGCTGGACAGCCAAAAGGACAAACAAGTGGGTCTTAGAGCAGATCAAGCCAGAAATTTTCCTAGAAGCCAAGATGACCAAACTGAGACTGCTGTACTTTGGACACATCATGAGAAGAGAGGACTCTTTGGAAAAAAGTAATAATGCTAGTCATGGGTATGGGGTTGCAGGAATTAAGCAGAGCAGTGGAGGACAGAGGGTCTTGGAGATGACTCATCCAAAGGGCCACCATGAGTCGAGATCAACTTGAGGGCAGTTTAACAACAAGGCTATATTTCAGGGGGAGGAACTGGCAAAACCACCTCTGAGTATGCCTTGTTGAAGAAAACCCTATGAAATTCATGAGATTGCCATGAGTTGACAAGCAACTTGAAGGCACCCACATACACTTTCGCATACAACATTCTGGGGTTCTTGCAGGGATGGAGGTATTTTGTGTGTTTTCAAATGTTTAGGAGGCTTTCGGCATGGTTTTGGGGGCAAAGGTGCCCCAAAACCACACTGATTATTTTTTTAGTTGGGGAGTTGATGGGCTTTTGAGAACTGGAGGGGCCTTCAGGAGCCATAAAGTTGAGGTTCAGTGCTGCATGCAGTCCAGAGGCTGGATTTTGCTCACACCTGTTACAAGATATAATGAAAAAGCTGATTTTTAGCACATTTTTAAAAGCAACATATTTGCTATCATATATAAAGTTTAAAATCCTTTAAAAGATATCACTCTAAAAATGAAAATGCAGCACGCAT